AGGTGACACATTCCCCACATCAAGCTGAGCATACATCCAAAACCTTCCAAGCAGGTCAAGTTGCAGGTCTGTTTCACCTTTCCATCAGATATGTTTCTCTCAGCGTGTGTGCCCTGTGGGCTTTATCTAAGGTCAAATTCTATTGTCTGTTTCAGTTTGTTGCACATCATGAGGGAAGGTTTTTGATTGGCTGCTTGCCTGGTGTGCAGATAGATTCTTAGTGAAACAGTACAAATAGACCAGGTTCCTGTGTGCTCCACCATCAGCTCAGCTCTAACAGCATGCAGAGCTCCGGACTCAGCAGCACACTGTGTGAGTACAGGAAAGTCTTTGCACACTAAAAGTTGTTCCTTTAATGTGTCATTTACATGACTTTGTTGTCTTTTATCAGTAAGTTGTGTATCCAGTTTTTCTGTTTTTTATTCATTTTCATGTCATGTGTTAAGGTCCATGTGAAACACTGTTAACTTACAGTAACACAGAAGACAAACGAGTAAATCAGCTGTAGGTTGTACGCCGGCTAACACCCAGGTTTCTCTTTTTATGTTTCAGTGCTCGCAGCAACGTGTGTACTCGTGACTTCAGGTAATCACTGAATGTTTGATACGTTTTATGCTAACGTCCTTTTAACCTCATACTTTAGCATGTAGATGAGTTAGTGAAACCTGATCGGCTCTGATTGTGTCTGTGATACGACATCCGTCCTCTTTACTGCACGAGCCTGTAACCATCGCCATCCTTACGTCGGCCTATCCAGTTTCTTCTTTTCTCTCAGAATAAATATTTTTCTGGCTCTAACACTCCTTCATACTCAAAGAGAGAGCCTAGATTTGCATAGCAGTTTTGCTTCATGCCTGTACACTATAGTGCTATTTGATTTTAATACACCACTCACTACATGAGCCTCTGATAAGTTTTCAGTCCCACCACCACTAAGGAAAAATCCCTCAGGTAAACTCTGGAAACTCAGACTCATTGAAGCTCTGAGTTAAAGCAGTTCAGTAACAGAGAACAGTGTCCTGTGAAACTGGTGTTAAACTAGTGGTGGGAACACTTTTAGATAATCGGAATTATGGGGACTGGTCTTCATTGTCCAGAACTTACGTCTGATTCGCTTCCATCATGCTCAGCCAGTCAGGTTACATACCAGGAACGACACAGTTAAACATTCTTACATTATCTGAATAGCATCACTTCATTATTGTGCATGAGTCACCCAGCAGGAGGCCTCAGTGACTGAAAACCAGTCAGACCTGTAGAGACCGGTATGTTTGCAGTGTGGACCCAAAAGCAGACACGACAGAAAAGCAAAGTGAAACAAGGGTGAAACTAACCTAAGCTGGGAAAAACTAAACTATGACAACAATGATACAAAACCAGAACATAAAGCTGAACAGGGACATGCAAAACGCACCCATGAAATAAACCAAATGTGAACCTGAGCAGTTGTAGAAAAACTCTATGATGTGACGTGACACAAGGTAAACAGATGACCCGACACTGAACCGAAGAAGACCGAAGGGCAATGAAGGGAGTGGAAACACCTGGAGAGACACAGCTGACACAAATGAACATGACGCCAC